CCCCCCCCCCATCATTCTCCCTTCCGGGGGCTGGGTGAGGGTAAGGCCCACACGTGGGATCGGGGTGACTGGGTAGATCGGGGGTGACCGAGTTGACCAGAAGCATCTGGATTAGGGGCATCTGGGTGGATAGGGTTGCAGAGGGGTGCCGGGGAGGACTGGAGTATCCAGGTGGGTCAGGGCAGATTGAGGGTATCAGAGTGGATGGACTCGGATGTCTGGGGATTGGGGATGTGTGGATCCTGAAGGCCTCCTGGAAGAGGAGATGGTGGCTTCCTGGGGAAGCTGTAAAATGGGGAGTTGGTAGGAAATTTCGGGGAAGTGAGGGAGTCGTCAGGCTCGAAGGGCTTGGCCACCATCATGGAGGAACAGCCGCACAAGGCGGCTGGTAGAAACAGCTCTGGACCCCGTGTTGGGCCTGCAGGGCGGGAAAGGAGCAGAGAGGGGTGGGGAGAGCCTCCACCTGCAGGCTGCCCTCCTCTCTGAGCCTTCACACCGACAACAACCAGTTCAGGAGCAGCTCACAAGCCTCTTCCAACAACAGTCTGGGCAGGTGCCCAGACACCAGCTCCCAGCAGCCTGCACCGTGGGAGGGCCAGGCCGGAAATGTCGCCCAGGGGTTGGGGCGCCGCTAGGATCCCTCATCCATCCCCCCTGTGCCAGGGATGCTGAGAGGTGCCTGAGACGGGGAGAAACAGAGCCCTCGCGGCCAGGGGGACGTGGTGAATTCCATGGACAGAGGCTTCAGAGCTGGGACTCTGGGTCCTGGGGGACGGCATGCAGCATTAAGCTGAGTTAGCAGGGGTTTCGGGGTTGTGACAGCAACGGGGGGTAACCACAGTGCCAACTTCATCAAGCCGCGAAGATTATGTAAGTGAATAAATGCAAAGAACTGAAACAGTGCCTGGCATGGGGTAAACAATTAAGCATTAGCTCTTTTTTTTTTTTTTTCAAGCTTGTTTATTTATTTGGGGGGGAAGGGGCAGAGAGAGAGAGAAAATCCTGAGCAGGCTCTGTGTTGTCAGCCCAGAGCCCCATGCGGGGCTTGAACTCACCAACCGCGAGATCATGACGTGAGCCGGAATCAAGAGTCGGACGCTTAACCGGCTGAGCCACCCAGGCCCCCGGCCAGCACTAGCTGTTATTACTAGTATTAGCACCATCTCGGGGTGACGAAGCCTCGCCAGGTAGCTTGGCGAGGACCCACGGGCCGTCCTGCCCACACACCCACTCCAGCTCTTCTCCCCAAACGTGTGGGGCCCTAAATGCCATACCAATGCTTTCCAAAGCCACAGACCCCCTTCCTGCAAGAAATGGGCGCTCAGACTAAAACCATGAGTCCACCCTGAAGGACGAACGGCTGGGAGGATTCCCAGGACCTGAGTGCACAGGACCGGGGAGGAGTCTGGGCAAGAAACAGAAAGGAACACGGAGTGGGGTTTCCATGGTATGGAGAGACGGGCTCGCTCTCTTCAGCTGTGGACGGGAGTCGCGGGGACACAGCAGGGAAGGTCAAAAGGCTTTTCGCCAGGCTTAGCGAGGGCATGTGTTTTGCGATCGGTGAAATGGAGGCTAGAAGAGATGGCCTCCGGGGCTTCCGGCGGTTGG